GCTCTTGCTTTCCCCACTTTGCATATTGAGCACTCAACTGCAGAATGTGGAGTAAATTGATCTTTCTTTACCAATAAATCAGAATATATTAAATGAGATAAAATAGTAGTATGGATAACCTAATCCTTTGCATCACAGAGCATTTTTATTGTAATGCAAGAAAATGAAACAACTCAAAAAATATGACACTGTACATAAAATAATTGTCCAATTTCAGTATCATTCATAAGAATTCTTTTATCATGATCTTGCAAAATACAACCATCACAAGAAAATTGAACAAGATAATTATTATTAGACAATTTTTCAACTGCAATGAGATTCGTTGAGAGCTTGGGAAATATGAAGACGTCTTTCCATCCCCAAAAGATATGATATCCAATTGGCTAACATTAGTACCCTATATAAATAATTATATATGAAATGATTGGATATTACGAGGAAGATGAGAAGTACCAGCCATAACACTGGAAAGGACAGAATCCACAATTTAGAATGAAAAACATAACATATTCTTACCTTGGAGCATTGAAGCAGATAGGGCTATAATTATCATCTATTGAACCAATTCAGGACCAATCTCAGGTTTGTTCATATCTACTAACACTACAAGCTAATCAGCAACCATTATTTGTTTAGAATTTGACTGTCAATTCTGAGAATGTTTCCAACGTTCCTTAATTAAGTGCCAAGCTTCTTACAATAATTACAAAAATTCTTTTCACAATTGACAACAGTGTCCATAGAGCTTGCAAGTGAAGCAACGTATCAATTGCATATATTTTGCTTTATTATTCGCGAGGGCAACAAAAACAACACCATTCTTGCATTCCTGGTGTTGTTGAAATATGACTTGTATTGCAAGTTGTTGAACCTCTTGAAGCAAACTCATCCACAGAAAGAGGATAATCACAAATCATCAAATTGGAAGGAAAGGCCTAAAATTCAGAACAAAATTTCATCAAGGATTAATCTCTTTTGCTTCATATATGAGTCTGTTGAACAATAAAAAGAGATAAAATGATACTTTAGTAACAATTATGCAAATTGAATTTCATTTGGTGTGCGTGTAGAGGTCGAATGCCATATTAATTTAATATAAATACATATTTATATGTTAATATTATTTGTTATTTAAATTTTCAATTTTTCATCCCGTGATGATAATAAAACTTCTTGATTTCTTTCCATAATTCAAATTGGATAAGAAATAAAGATGTTATAATTTCTGCAAGCCCTGTATTCAAAAAAAATATAAAAAATCATTCATATTGTTTCGCCTTGATTGGGCAGCAAAAAAAAAAAGATATTTTTGCAAGGTGAACCCTCTCTCTCTCCCTCCCTCCTTCCTGTCTTTACATGGACAGACAAAAAGCAAAAAAAGGAGGATTTCCCTCTCTCTCTCTCTCTCTTTTTCATCGATTCTCGCACAAGAACAGACTCGACCCAATTCCATCTCTCAATTTTCATCACAAGCCCAAGTCCTTCCCCTTGAGCGCTCTCTATGTATCCCGTCATCCCTCCAGACATCGTCACTCAACCAAGCCACCAAGCCATCCTCCATCACTTCAATGGTTCTCGGATCCATTACCCACCCCACACTTACACACATTTCGCTTCTTTCTCTCTCATCCATTACCCACCCCACACTTACAAATGTATCCTTGCATCTTATCAACATATCTTGGCATCCTATCAAAATATGAATCGGCTTCTTCTGCCCAATTAAAGCTTTTAGTTATACATTTTAAATAGAAAGATATAAATTTTCAAGGGAGGATTGTAAGTCCAGGTCATGGGCATTCTTAGGCCCATACAGAGCTAAATTATAAGTCCCATCATTGCATTTGCATTAGTCTAGGTTGTGAGATAAGCTCAATTAGTAGGTTAGTCCCCTTCTAGATTTAGGTTCAAGGCTAACATTATTCTTATAATATTTTAGTTTCCATCAACAGGGATGCTCCTACTTATTGCGAGACCCACATATCTACATCACTAAATCATGCCAACCTGCATGTTGAGTACTTAATTGACTGTTTCTTCCATTGAAATAGGAAACCACACTTCTAAAACGTAACATGAGTTAAATTCGGAAAAAAACAAACAAAAATATTTAACCAACTATTCTTGGGCTCCTTGTCTGAGATGTAATCAACCATGGGAGCCTATGCCAATGCGAAACTTGATTATCCATAATAAATTAAACCCTACTGGATATTATGTATTGAGTAGGAAAAATCTCTGGTTCATTTGACTCGAAAATATCTTTATCTTTTGAGTCCATAGAGTAGATCGTCTTCTATCCTCGGGGTAGTACGGTTTCATTCCCATTGAGTGCTCTAAAGATAAATGTATGTATGACTACTCTATCTGCTGTTAAGTCTCAAGTCGGATCATAAAAGCTTAAAACAATTTATGTACCTCGATTTTGTGCTATCTAATCCTTTGTGAATCTCCCCTTTTCTTTCCGGGCCGCATGAGTCTTAACTGAAACTCATAAACGCAAGTGATATGCTTTTTGCACATGTTTTCTAATTTAATAGAATAGTTGTAATAAAAAACATAAATCACAAAATGAATAAAATGAAGCAAAACATGACTTTAGTTATTAAATTTGGTTACTTCTCTTGAAGGAGCCACCTAATGGTTTACTGCTAAGAATTTATGTCATCATTATTGCAAAAGTACACAGAATCTTAGGGACAAATGACTCTATACAAAAAGAAATTATATGATTCAGCAAAATAAGGTTATACTGGCAACTATTCTCCATGATAATGGTTAAGAAAGTTAATTACCAGCATTCACAAAAATGGACAAGTTCATAGAATAGTGTACTATAGTTCACATATACGTACCCTCAACATATAAATAAAATACCTTATACGGTTACAAAGCAAGCACGGCAAATACACCTCCAATCAAAAAACTTTGAAGCATTAGTACACCACACATACATCGGTGATCTCCCTTTCCAAATTAAACTCGTGTCATTGGATGTGTGCATGGATATAGACATGCCCGAAAAAATCAGAGTTGTGGAATGGGATTTGTGTGGCTTATAATAGTGGATTGATTAAAGCCTGTTTACAGGGCAAGAAGAAGAAACTGGAAGCTTTGCATATTTTTATATGCAAGCATCAATGGGAATTATATCAAAACTTACGTAAGCATAAGTGCATTAGGTCAAGCATTTAATTAGCACATTTGTTAATCCAACATTCTTGAACTAGTGTTCTTGCCTGAAAGGTGAGTTATGTAAGTATTAAACTTTCAGGGTCTGGTTTCGCTTTTGGTTATCCTAGAAGTTACAGATTCCGCTTGTCAACAAGAGAAAATGATAATCTTTATTAAATTCAAATCATAGTAAATTAAGATGCATTTATTCTCCTATTAGCTCTAGAGAGAACCTCATTTAATTCAAAATATTAAGCTTAGGAGGTTGTTCATACACATCATCATACATAACACAAATACACTTGATACATCATACATAACACAAAAACAATAGTTTAGCTGTAAAGTAAATGCCAAATAGTCTAAATACTACACTTGTTTCAACATTGATAAGTCAAGAAAGCACCTAATAATTGACGCGAGTGCGGGAAGTTTCCTGCACGGTTGTGAGAAACTAGCCAGCCGGTTGAATCGATTGGCATAAAGACCGGTCCAGGGAGTCTAGTTCAGCCATCCAAAGGGGCGAGTGGCATCAGGCAGAGTAGGCAATCTTTCCTTTCACATGTCCCGCCCAAATCGAGCAGGGTTTTGGGGAGAGGCGGCATTGGCATCTTTCCTTTTGCGTCTTCCGCTCGGTTCAAGCGTTACTGGCCGCCTCCTCCTCTTTCCTTTCTCCTCTTCTTTACTTTCTCGGTTCCCTCCTATCTAGAGCTATATGTATGTTGGTTTGCTAAGAGTCAAAATAGTTTTTTGTTGTGTGTTGATCTCAAATTCCTATGTGGATTCATTTTCCCTTTTGTGGGTTGTATCCGAGGAGGTAATGGTGTTCCAGCTGTATCCTACTCCGATGTGGTGATTGTATCTCTCTTTTTATCTTCCCTAAACCTGCCCTACCCTTGCCTTCCCTTCCCCCTTAGCCACCGGCCACCCCGACCCTTCCCCAACCGCCTCCAGCCTTTCCAGTCTCCAAACCTGCTGTCCAGCCCCTCCAAACCGGTTGTCTAGCCCCGCAGCCCACTGTTCTGCAGCCAAACCTGCCGCCCAACACTCCATCATTGCTGCCGCCACCCCCGCTAGCTGCCCCAATTCACCTAGCCAACCCCTGCCGCCCTTGGGACGCACTTTTGAGTTGTTTGTTTCGTCATTTTATGTTTGGGTGATGTTATTTTCAATTTGTGTGTGTTGTAACCCTATTTCCCTGTTAATGAAAGTTGTTCTTGCGGTTTGGGTCTCTTTTCTTCCAGTATCAACAATGCTTGCATAAGATAAGGTTTTACAGTAATAAATAGCACAAATATTTCATTGTTTGGTTGTTTTACTGAGGAATCAGTTTCGTCATTTTATGTTTGGGTGATGTTATTTTCAATTTGTGTGTGTTGTAACCCTATTTCCCTGTTAATGAAAGTTGTTCTTGCGGTTTGGGTCTCTTTTCTTCCAGTATCAACAATGCTTGCATAAGATAGGTTTTACAGTAATAAATAGCACAAATATTTCATTGTTTGGTTGTTTTACTGAGGAATTAAGAGGATTAAGGAATTCAATATTTCATTGTTTGGTTGTTTTACTGAGGAATCAAGAGGATTTATCTTCTTTGGATGCTTCTTTCTGTACTATTCTACTGAAAGGTGAATTCCAAAAGGTTGTAAAGCTAAAACTCAAATATAAGAAATATTCAGTATGCCATGTAATTAAAATAAAGAATGTACATAAGCATGACAAATAAAGTTGAGTCAAGCATTTATATAGCCCAATGTATGATAAGCATAACCTATTAACAGAATTTCGTACAAATTCTTTGGAAGTGAGATGATTGGAGCACATACCCATCTCCATCAAACCTGCCAAATAAACCAAAAGATGTTTCGTAAGTGTGCTTACCCGAACTGTCTAAACACCCAGAAAGTAACAGAAAGAAGGAATGGCATGCTTTTAGCTTCAACAAGGTTTCAGCTACTCATGGTTGAAAAAGAAATGAAAATTCTTTTCAGCTCCAAAACGCTACATCAACTGTACCTGTCAGGAAGCTTGGCACCTTCAAGATGTGCAGGTTTGAGTGATGTGAATGCCCGACATTGAAGAGGCATTATGTAGCCTAAAAAAAGAATGAGGCTCGTATATAAGAAGAAGAGGGCTAGCCTTCGTCCCAAGATACTCACTAACTCAGTAAGAAAAAAAGAGTTATGGGAAAACCAATCCATGCTGATAGTGGGACTGGCTAGCCGAGGAGAGGAAGAAGAGGGGTCATCTTTGGAGATGAAGGTATACAGACACGAGTTTGTGTGGTTCCACATAGTATGGATTAGAATTTCATTATGAAAAAGGGTTAAGGGTACATTTTGTAGAGAAGATCCACTAAATCTCAAAGGTGGGACTTGAAGGGTGAAGGAGTGGAGAGTAAGAGAAAAATGAATCCTTCATTAAATTAGTTCAATCTCAACAATGGTGTGATTATCTACCAGGTCCTAAGTTACAGATTTATGAGAGGAATAAAAGCTCGAATAGGCTGCCCAGTAAAGGCATTTTAATCATCAGAAAAGGCCATAGAGGCACTGTTTTCCTTCAGTGGTAGATATTTATGTACAAAGGATGTGTTATCACTGGATTAATATCAGGTGAATTGTGCTGGGCATTTTAATCATCAGAAAAGGCCATAGAGGCACTTTTTTCCTTCAGTGGTATATATTTATGTACAAAGGATGTGTTATCTCTGGATTAATATCAGGTGAATTGTGCTGTCATAAGCTCAAAAGTGGATGATGTCTTTCAAAACTAATCTTGATGGTTTGATTGGCTATATTGACACCAGTTGAACTAGTCAGCTAGCAGATAAATGAGGATTGAGCCTTTGGGGAAGGAGCAAAAGATTGGGTTATTTTGCTAAAAGAGCCGTAGTAATGGAACCAACATGACACCAGGGATTGATCGGAAG